CGTGCCCCGTCAGGCCTGAGCGTGTCGTCCCCCCCTGAGCAGTTTGGGTTCAGGGCAGGGGCCGCTCCTCCTCCTCTCCCCCACCCCCCCCGTCATGGGCTTGACCCTGTTGCCCTCTCCTGCTGCAGCCCTGCCCCAACTTTGGGGTCAGAGCTCCTCCATAAAAGCCAGCTTCTGACCTCACGCATACATTGCAAGTCCTAAATCCTCTAGTACAGGGGTGTCAAACATTCAGTCCACAGTCTGGATTTGACCTGTGGAGCCACTCTAACTGGCCCATGGAACTATGAAAGTGCGCTACAAGTTGGGCCTCTCATCCCACTAGGCATGAACATCAGCAGCAAGGTTGGCTCACTGCTGCCTGAACCTATGCTCCAGCCAACACTGGACCCTGCAACTACACCACTTCTGCCACACCCTACATGGCCCCTGCTGGACCCTGTGCCCCTGTCCCCCCCCCTAGACCTTCTATCTGCACTGCCACTACCAGGTCCTGTGTGCCACTGCCACTATTGGATCCCTGCATCACCCCACCAGACCCCATATGGCTGCCACCACCACGGGACCCCATACTGCCACTATTGCTGCAGTGGCTGCTGCAGCAGCCCTCATGCCCCAGGTTGTATCTGAGCCACAAGGAGCCCCATGGTCTAGACCCAGCCCAGGCTGGCTTCAAGTAGACTTGACTAAAGAAATCTTTTCACCAACATTTTATTCAGTAATTTAATATTATTATGAGAGGCAAGGATGATTTTTGGGCACAGTATCTTTTATTGGACCAACTGCAGATGATTACTTCAACACACTAGTGAAAAGAACCCCTGCACTCCATACTGCATTTCATCCTAATTACGCAAGTCTCATGTTACATTTTATACTCCCACTTCTTTGTCCTGTACTTTGTACAGTTCTGCCTGCCACCACCACGACACCTTAAACTGGAGTCCTTTGGAGCAATGGACCTCATAATTAGCACAGTGATGTTCCTTCTGCACCATGATGTGAATGTCCCCAGTGCCGTGCAACACTTAACAATTCTACAAGTGGATTTAATGCCTAGTCAAAACGTGCAGAAAAAGGGGGGGAAACAGTTTTAAAATTATCTAAAATTCCTTCGGTTCAGTATAGTCCCATGCATTTTAGAAGGGTGAGAGCACACCCTTGAATAAATGTCCAAGTTCATAGTCATATAAGGCACACAGTGAGGAAAGAAAAGCACTCCACTGTACAACCAAGAATTAAAAGGCCAAATGACTGTCATATGAATATACTTGTGTATAATTAATCCAATTTCCTTGTGTTTTATTATTAGCTAGTGGTCCTCTCTTCCCAAGCTATTTGCATGAGCTGCACTCAGGGATTATAGAAGTTACTAAGGAAAAATAGTCATTTTCTCTAGGAAATAGCTTTGCTGCAAAATAGCTTTATGTGGGTCAGATCCCTATACCCACATGAAAGTCCACTGGCTTCAAAAGGATCACTCTGATAGCAGGGAGTTCATTTCAGCGTGAGAACTTTAGGGGGGTAAAGCTTATAAAAAGATCAGTTATATCTTGTCAGATGGCATTAGATTATCATGTGTTCAAACTAGGCCAAAAACTATTTCTGTGGGAGGGGGTGAGAAGCCAGCACAACACCTTTGACATTTCAACTATTTTTGTTTCCACTGCCAAACCTTTTAAAGGCCTATTGTCACGTTAACAATAAAGCAACAATTACATGGGTCCAAAATCTGTCCTCCTTTATCCTAATGGCAAAATTCTGTATGGCCTCTTCCATTACACTCGCATGAAGATGCTGCAGATGTTGGCCACCTAAAAGTGGGAAGTGAACCCAGCTACATTACAAACCACTGCTATGGCCTTGTGTTACCCCATTGCAGAGAATGCCTGTCCAGCATGGGAACGATCGGTTCATGTTAAGAAAACAGACATAGTTCTAAATGACAGCCGTCATCAAATAACAGGAGGTCTAAAGCCAACACCAAAAGGACAGCCTGGACTTACTGGCTGGCTTTGCACCACCTAATATCAGAAGAAAGGCAGCAAGCCAAAAAGAAATATTGCAGATCTTGAGGCTCATCTTGAGAGCCAGCATATGGACAGGGTGTAGGGGAGGTGGAGCCCCACGTTCATCCACCAGGGGATGCAACAACTCCGGAGGTACCCTCAACAGGAGCCCCCACCATTGAAGACCCACCCAAAGTCGTGGCAGACAAGTTTTGGGGTTCTCTCTGAAGTGACTGAGGGTCTCCCCAGGGATCGCACAAAGTCCCATCACATCCAAGACTAGGCGCACGCGCCAAAGCAGCACGGGAGCAGATAATCAAATTGAGACGGGCATAAAGTGATGCAACAGCAAGATTGGCTATGGCACAGCCTGGCATCCTTCAAAATGCCGAAGATGACCCGTGACAACGACCCAGAGGCTTACATCGAGGCTTTCGAATGCCACGCCATAATGACCAGGCTCAATAAAGGGGAGTGGGCCAGTCAAGTAGGCGCACTTGTGGTGGGCAAAGCCCAGGCGGCATACCAGGCTCTTACGAGGGACGAAGCCCGTGATTACGAGTCGAGGGACGAAGCCCGTGATTACGAGTAAGTGAAGACAGCTATTTTGTATAGGCTGGAAATCAAACCAGAGCATTACCACAAACTGTTCCAGGCAAAGAAAGGGCTGGAAGGAAAGGCAACCCCGGATATTATTACAGCTGCTGTGGGACCTCTTGAATAAATGGGTGAATCCCACGGTGCATAACAGGGATGCTCTAGCAGATCAGATCCTCCTGGAACAATTCCAAAATGACTTAGAAGAACGAATGCAACGATGGGTCCGTCAGCACTCCCCACGCACGTGCGATGAGGCCTTGAAGCTGGCCGAGGCTTTTGCAGTATCAGAAGCGGGTTACCCTTGGGAAAGGCAGAATCCGGGACCTCCAGCTCCACTACCAAGGGAACCAGAGCAGAGATGGCCATGCAATCAAGGAGCAACTAAGGAAACAATGTTTCTGGTGTGGAAGAAATGGGCACTTCAAGGGATTGCCCTAGTAGTTCCACAGAGCGATGGCACCCAGACAGTAGCCCGAGGATGCAAGTTGAAGGATGGAGAGAGCAAGAAACAAGCAAGCCCATGGATTGCAGCTATGCGGCCAGGGGAGACGGAGCAACTTGGGGACGGCCCATTGTGAAAGCCTGGGTAGACGGCCACCCTATACAGGCCACAATGGATTCAAGATGCGCCCAGTCACTAGTGAGGGCTGATCTGGTGAGGCCTCGAAGGGATCAGAAAGCCAACTTGGTGAAGGTGACATGCCTCCATGGGGAGACTAAGCTAATTAACCACCAGTGGATACAACTCTGGGTGATGGAGCACCAGGGGGAACTACTGGTAGGCGTGGTACCCCAGCTGGCCTGCGATATGCTGTTGGGACACGACTGGGCACTAATCTATGATACCCTGGATAGAGTCCGTGATCCTGAAGCAGAGCGTAGAAAGATCCAGAGCCACGAAGGATGGTTAGGAGAGCTTGAGGAAAGTGGGGAGTGGGCCAACAAACTGGACGAGGTAGACCTCCGTGATATTGCCAGCGGCCTACAGTTTCAGGAAGCCCAAGAAGAAGATCAGGAACTTTGGATGCTCAGAATGCAGGCTCGCAGCACCAGTGACAGCCTGACACCAACGCTGATCGAGACCCCACGGTTTGAGGTAAGAAATCAACTTTTGTATCACATGCAACGGGATAGACCGGGCAAATCTCAGGGCACACAGTTGGTAGTTCCCACATGATTCTGCCAAGCTATATGGCAATTGGCTCATTCCAACCCCACAGGGGGATATCTGGGTCGAGACAAGACCATCACGAGAGTGACCCGGGAGTTTTTTTGGCCTGGGTTGGGGGAGGACATCGCTCACCAATGCGCAGCCTGCCCCGAGTGCCAAAAGACAAGGGAGGATCACCTGGCATGGGTACCACTCCAGCCAATGCCCGTCATTGACATTCCCTTTTTGAGGATAGCTGTGGATGTGGTGGGACCCCTTTCCTGCAGCAGTGCAGGGCAGCAATATATCTTGGTATTCGTGGACTATGCCACTTGGTACCCTGAGGCGGTGCCACTATGGGTAGTGACCGCCCCACGAATAGCAAAAGAACTCGTTAAATGGATAGCCAGGATGCGGATCCCAAAGGAAATACTAACGGATCAAGGACAGAATTTTATGTCCAGAGTACTACGCGTGGTATGCCATACTCTCCAGATAAAAAACCTCCGCACCTCAGTATACCACCCCCAGACCAATGGTCTTGTGGAGCGCCTCAACAGAACTACAAAGCAGATGCTACGTCGATGCATACAAGGGAATCCATGAAAGTGGGACTTGCTTCTCCCACTAGTATTGTTCACAATCTAGGACACTCCCCAGGATTCAATGTAATAGACTCCCTTCAAACTGGTACTAGGACATCACCCGAGGGGCCTCCTCCAAGCCCTAAGGGAAGATTGGGAACAGGACTCGGGGAAACTCGAGAGAGCCAGCAGCCTACCAGCAAAAGTTCCAACAGAGGGTCCGAATGGCCCAGGACCTGGCCAAAAACAACATACAAGAGGCACAACTTCACCAAAAGGAAAGATATGACAGTCACGCCAAGGGGAGAGAATTCGAACCTGGACAGAGGGTGTTGGTGCTTCTGCCCACATCCACAAGTAAGCTACTGACTCAGTGGCAGGGACCATTCGAAGTAACTTGCAGGGTCAGACCTGTAGACTACGAGGTCCACCAGCCAGGTCACCTGCGAGAGGGGCAAATTTATCACGTAAATCTCCTACGGGAGTGCCGGGAACTTGAGGGATGGGCCGCTTTTATGGAATTAGATGCTGAAGACCTCGGACCTCAAAGGGTGATTAAGGAGGAAGGGACAACCAGGGCAGAAAGTCACAACACTGTGAACAGTCGTGAAGTTAACCGCTAACACTCCTGCCCAGTCACATGTGGTACATGTGCTAGCAATAAGAATGAAGTTACAGCTTTGCAGTTGCATCCTTTTTGTCTTTTCAAGCCACAAACTTTGCTACAAATGTGTATCCTGCTCTGGTACTGTACCTTTTCAGGGTCCCTTTCCAAACACGTGCAGACACAGCTACGAGAGAGAGAAATCTACCTCTTCCTAAGTTTTCTCAAGATGTGCTTTAAAAAAAAAAAAAAAATAGGTGGGGATTTTTTAGATTGTTTTGCTTGTGATTGACTACTATAAACCCAAACTGTGATTGCACTTAGTAAAATAAATCACCTTATCTACAGCTACGTGACCTCAGTACTCTCCTCCTCTGTAAGCTGAAGTTCACTGCAGTAAATGGCACAACCGCCCTTTCACATCCAATTCATTTCTGACCTTTGATCTGTGTATATTGTCTCTAAATGCAGACAAAATGGGAAAGAAGATAAAAGAAACACACTCCAACCCTACAGCAAGCAATGAGACAGTCTAAAAACACCCTTCATGGAAATCACAACTGGAGATGTGTGTGCATCTATTTAGTGGGGGGACCAGAAACAAAAATATTTTAGCATATCTAGACATTGGATTTATGACACACCTGCCTGACATCTGACTCCCCATGTACCTCTCCACTATTTACCAGCTACATTCATCCCCCTTTTGCCCCCCAGCCTGCCTCTCACCCACTGCCTCTCACCCAATTTACATCTTCACTGGCTGCCTGTATTGCTTGCCTATGAGCCTCTGGCTTCTTTACTATTCGTTCTATCCAGGAAAAGCACACACCAGCTGCAGGTGCTTCCTCAGCCTGGCGAAGGATATCTGTACCCGAAAGTTTGCAAAGACGATTTTTTCCAATTATCTGAGCTAGTCTAATAAGAGAGATCAGATTTACCCAAAGAACCTTGTCTGTCTAGCATACCTATGCATTTAAAAGCCATAGCATTCATGAGTTACATGTGTACTTTGAGAGCAGACTATACCCCTGTTTGTTGGCTTAGAGAGAGTTTTATCTGGTAGTCAAAGATTAAAAGCATGCTTTGAAGCAAGGAAAGCAAAGACATGTCTCTTTGCTGCAAAGACAAGCAGGGAAATAATGACTGCAAGAAAGGAAGATTATTAAATAACAAAAGCAGGGGGACACAGACTCCACCAAGCAGAACACACTGGAGTGCCCACTGGCACTCGGACGAGCCCAAGGAGGCAGTGAAATGCTGCCCACCACGGCCAGGACAGTCCCCAGAGTCCCCCAGGGCATGACACAGGATGCTGGGCAGGACGGGTCTGTGGTCAGAGCCCCTCGTACGCCGCCGCGCTTACGCTCTCTACGTTTTAGACTGCAACAGACAAACATGGGGGGGGGGGGTGTAGATTTTCCCTAAAAACACAACACTGCTTGCTAAACCCTTCCACCTGAACCGCGCCGGCCCTGCAGAAGCCTTCACAGCCCCAGCCCCAGGGACAGAGGCAGGAAAGTGACTCTCGTGAGCGAGCCGTGAGGCGACAGCCCAAGCCTGGGGCAGGGGCGAAGAAAGGGCAGGGGCAGGCAGCTCCCGGTCCTGCCCCGGCCCCCTGCTCTCCCTGCTGGCAGCCGCACGCCCCACGCCCCGCTCCCGTCCGTGGCTGCGCTGGGATGCCGGGCTACAGGCT